ATATTTTTATACTCGTGTGTAGTTGAGATTAATCTATTTTCCTATTTCTGCTTTGCATTGGCATCACATACATTTTAATATATATTTTCCTAAGTTACTTTATCATAGTTTTGTAGAAGTTTATAGAGGTTCACTCATTTTAGTTTATAAATTTACTTCAATATTCTTTTATATAAGTTTTGGCTTACTCATTTGCCTTTTAAAATTACTATTATTCATCTAATTTATTTAAAGTCTTCTATACTCTTATTTATTTTGCTTTTCATATTTTTCTGGCCTCATTTTTATGATTTCTTTCTAACACTACTTATACCTGTGAATTATCATAAATACTCTTTTACTTAGCCTTATAATGCACCAGGTATCTCATCGTTAATACTGCTTTTAATGCTGTCACTTCGACTAACCTACAAACCATCTTACAGGCCTACCCAATATTCTATTTGCTATTATTATGAAAATGTGTTTTAAATTTATTCATGATTACCCAAAGGATTCCTGGTTCATATTGAATCTAAACGTCTCACAACTTCATTATATTCTACTTAACCATATATATCCAATTATGCTCTTGATCAACCCTAACGAAACATTCTTTGTTGAGTCAAAGTAAAGATTAAAAACAGGAAGAATTACATTTTATGGTTCATATTATAGTGATAATTGATGTATCTATTGTACAAATTGATTGAACACTGATAAAGAATATTCCTGTTTAGGGGCTGTTTGACATTGTTTTCGCAGCTTGGTCATATTGGTAAGAAGGCCTAGAATAACGCACCTAGTCCGAAGTCAATTGTATTTATGATGTTTTCCAAAGTCGGAGAGTGGACGTGGTACATTCCCATACGTTTCGCCGGCATCGTCAGTCCGTTTTGCCATTCTTAGCATCATACTACAACTCGTCAAAGAAGCAAGTGAAGCGGATCCTTTGACCAAACCTGTGCTAAACTTTAAGCTGCATTAATTAAAACCCTCCACACTCCACACTGGCGTTCTCACACCCCCTTCACCCTTGTGTTGGGTATGTTGATCAGTCTGCCATATTGCTACACAGTCCCTCCCTAGGTCTTATTCATGCCCCCGTAAGATCCGTCTGCTATCTCCCTGGTTCACGTATTTCACTCGACCCCTGCCATCCCACCTGTGTTATACGAGACGTTATTGCACCTACTCTGTGTCTGGGACCTAATTCGAGGCCAAAGCCTCTAAGTAAGTCTCAGTCACGCCTTTGCCACATGGACCACTTCTCTTATAAAACCTACGGTCAGTCCCCTAGCTCCCATCGACGCCGCATCTATCCTGTTTCTATCTCTAATACCAAGTCTATGACTTGCCATGCCCTAGTCTCTTGTGTGCCAGCCCACAAATGTGGTACTGTTTGCTTTGATTAGGTTCAATGTTGAACCACAATGTTTGTGGGTTGGCACACAAGAAACAAGGGCATATAAAGTCATAGACTTGGTATTAGGGATAGCAACAGGATAGACGCAGCGGAGACTGGAGCTAGTTGGCTGACATCAGGTTTTACCAGAGACGTGGTCCATGTAGCAATTTCGTGACCATGAGGCATACTCAGAGGCTTTAGCCTCAAATTAGTCACCCAAACGCAGGGTAGGGTTAATAACGCCTCGAGTAACATAGATGGGGTGGCAGGGGTCGAGTAAAATACGTAAACCAGGGAGATAGCAGACGGATCTTACAGGGCAAGAGGGAGACTCTTATTAGACCTAGGGAAGAAGGACTGCGTTACAATATGGCAGACTCTGATCATCATATCCAGCACAAGGATGAAGGGTGGTTAAGTACGCCAGCGTTGAGTGTGGGGTTTTCATAAATGCCGCTCAAAGGAGCACATCACACTACATCTAAATAAACACAGTAAAAATTGTAATAGTGAAGGAGTGATATGAGGATATATGAAATGTGAATAGCCCAGGACAGAAGGAATAAATACCACAACTGTTTAGCACACGTTTGGTCAAAGGATCGGCTTCACCTGTCTCTGACGAGTTGTAGTGTGGTTCTAAGAATGGCAAGACTCACTGACGATGCCGGCGAAATGTATGATAATGTACCACGTCCATGCTCCGACTTTGGAAATTATCATGCATACAATTGACTCCGGACTAGGTGCGTTCCTCTAGGTCTTCTTATCAATATAACCAAGTTGCGAACTCAAGGTCAAACAACTTCTATACGACGAAAGGAGACTGCTACCGCATAATAGGCCACGCCATCTTGGTCTTTATACCTTCAATATTCTTGTTTGTTATTCTTAACTCCCTGTTTTTTAAAAAATTAAATGCATTTCATAATTTTTAATTATTGATCTGTGCTTTATTATAGTGAGTTTAAAATAAGACAAAATTGGTTAGAGCATAACCTTTCTTTTGGTCAGGAATGAAGGAGACCATACACATTTAAAGCTCTTATAAATGATCGAAATGTATTCGTAAATTTAATTATATTTTATCCTCGAGTTGTTTTAGCCAGCTCCTGTGCATTATATTATCACAACCCTACTATCTGACTTTCTCAAGTGGAGGTTATAAGTTGAGAATTGCACATTCCTAAATGAACATCCACCTTGATCATGGCTATTTGTTAGTTATCACTTTAATTTGGAGTCGTGGCATTCACTGTTAGATTTCCACGATGAAGTGAATTGAGCTACAATATTGGGAGGGACTTTCATCTCGTATGAAAATGCATGAAGAGATTCGTAGGTCGATCTTACCAGAACAGGACGGATGAATCCCGTTGTACTGCAACCGTTTGGCTTTTATACGACGTTCAGGTTGACGTAGTCCACCAAACCTCCCTCGTTTCGAGTGAAAACTGGCTGAGCTTTCGTCCATGATATAATGGACATCATCAGAGCTGGGTCTCATTCCTGTAAAAGTCTCACATTAACACTAGGGCAAAAAGAATATCATGCTCTTTCTTACCTCTTATATAGGCTCAATTAAGCAAAATAAAATCAAAATATAAACAGATATAGAGTGGTTTGGCTAATTATATTTCACACTGGTCCTGCTACTTTTGCTTGAATGTGTGCGTGTGTGTTAGCGTCTATATGCATCCGCCATCCTTCCTCTTCTGGTGAATTCGACTTACGAATCTCTTCATACACTTTAATACGAAATGAAAGTCCCCCCAACATTGTTATCTCAGAAGATTCTTCGAAACCCAGTTTCTCTTCATATCTACGAGTTACAATAGCTCATTTATCCATCCAGACTGGATTGAAGCTTCATTTTGAATTATATTAGATAAGCATCATCAGCTTCATACGGGCAAAAGACTCTAACATCAGTAAGGCGCCGTCAGTGCGAGTACGGAGTACCTTAAAATCATTATAGGCGTCCTTTAGCTCTTATCTATTGTAGATAATTTTGAATTAGTGAGTAACTGTTCTGTCATTGAGATGTTACTGAATTAATTTCGGATACCATCTAATCGCAAATGTAGGAAATTCGATTGCCTTAATTCCCATAAAAAACAGTCATAATGGATAAATCTAGTCGGATGACGGGATTTTTGTGGTCACCCTGTCCTATGCCTATTTGTAATTCGATGTTTTTATGCAAGTTTATTTCTTTTTATTTGTTGATCACCTAATAGAAGTTTTATCTTTTATTGCTAGGTAACTTTATTTTCTTTGCAGTTTTGATTACCAGTTGATAACTCTAACCATCTTACATAATCTTTCCTCGCCTAGGTCTCCTTACAGGATTCTCAAGCTCTAGTCATATTCCGAGGTGACCCTTCGCTTTCGCCGGCTTCCTTTGCCATTTCAATCAACAGCCTGGGCTTCAGATGCCATTGTCTACTACCCAGAGAGGGCGAGCTCTCTTCTGACTCTCCATCGTCGTCCTCGACTCTCACCAATTCTCTCCAACTTCCTCTCTCTGTATCTTTTCCTATGGGTTTATCCACCCTTTTATCTGCCGGCACCACTGGAATCTCATTAATCCGAAACACTATATCTTACACTCAAATCATGATCTCATGTATGACTTCTAGCTCCTGTGTAGCGAGAATCGAGGAGGCTACTTATGGTTTGTCGGGAATGTTAGGTGTACGGATTAATCTCGATGCTAGTATGGGCTTTTTCTATCATTTTCCCGAATTCCTTACTTCCTTAGGTGAGTCAGGTCTCATGTTTTCTTTCAGATTGAATTGTAGTGCATTAGAATAACATTTTATACTTGCCTTACATTCACTACTCATTTCATTTATCCCTTTTAAATGGATTTCCGTAAGACTTACACCTGCCCTCTGACCTATTGGCATTTGCAATTATGAGACGAAGTGGTAACGTTTCTGCTTGACATGCACGATTCGTCTTCGAATTCCACTCAGAGTTTTGACTGGACCTAGGAGAGGATAAAACTGCTGTCAAATCTGAATGAGAAAGCCTTTTGGGAGGTATGGATAGGTTAAATTCAATGGCATCATGAGGCCACTTCACTCATTTCACTGTAGACAACTTTTAGTCCTTGCATCACCTATAATTAGCTAGGATGATTCCAATTCTTATCACTTATTGACGGCCTAGGGGTTCTAGTGATTGAAATTTTAATGATTTTTTATAACTTTTACCATATTTTGCATCGGTAACATTATTTTATTATTAATGCCCACAAAAATTCATTTACATTTGTTGAACTGTCATTAATTTCATTTCTATTTCGCAGAAATCTGCCGGCACATTAGTGACTTTGGCTATCCCAGCAAAGTTATCCGCTTTATCTCAGAACAAGATAGCCCTATCCCTATCGAATCATCGTTAGAAGTAGCCAGTCCAGCCTATGAACGTTTGCTTCCAGTTGGTGATTCCCCATTGTTGCAGTCTTCTACGCTCTCGCCTTCAGCTGCTTCCATACAAAATCCATACTACCTTCTTGTACAGCTTACCTCTGATATTCATAATAAAGGCCATCCATCGACCTCTTCGGATTTCCTTGCCGAAGATTACATTATTTCCTTGATTTCCAAGTCGATCTCTTCCTTGAAACTACTTGCAACTTCTTTTACTGCCGTCACACCTCCAGAGTATTCAAATAATTTAAGATCACCTATTTCTTCGGAAAACCTATCTTATTTTTTATCCCCTCCGCCTTTTTTGCCTTGGACTAGCCCAATTGACTCTATCACGGATTTTCCCAATTTATCTCGCTACTTACTTCTTGGGCTTCCCAATCAATGTAATCTTCCAATTAGGTCAGATCGTTGGCCATTCGAGCGTCTTTCTGCCACTCGCCGAGTCTGGCCAGCGTGGCTTCGATTCCAAAAATGTCTATCGACCCCGATGGATATGAATTTTGGAGAACAAGATAGCGAGTTTAAAGTCTCTGTGAGTGATCCATTTATCCTTATTATTTTAATATTAACCAATCTTCATTGCCTTATGCTTTTATTCTATTCTGGATAATTCTACGTCAGCAATCAAATAAGATCAGATTATTTTATTTAAAAATTGCTTGCAGGAATTGTACCGGGCTGACTATATTTATTCTTCCGAATCCTGAAAATAGACAACTTGATTATTATATTTTAAAGTTAAAGCATTCAACGATAAATGACGGTACTTTCAAAATATATGTCTAATATTGAACTAGAATAGAGATAAAGTTTGGCTTGGTCAGGTTGCAAAAACCACGGCTCTCTTTATGAGTGGAGAGGATATGAAGTAGCTGGATCATGAGCGCACTTCCTCGATTTTGTAACCTACATTTTTGGACTTTGATCATGCCTGACCATTCAGTGATGGATTTGGAGCATGGATATAGTGGAAGAAGCTAAGTTTTACTGTGAAACTATTGTTGTTGCCTACTAAAGACAGCGACAGCGTATGACTCCTTTGTCATTCTGTTTGGCGAGTGATGAAAGTGAACGGTGTGAATGTAGCTAATGGGGCGTACATATTTGACATTAATGTTAAGTTCTCAATGGGAAACGGACTTTAAAATTTTAGGAATAATCTCACTTAAGCTTTTTATGTATTTAGGTGTTTTATGTAATTATGTGCCAACTATCGAAAGCCAAGTAAGGTCATCCACACAGTTACTTTCTGTTGGTATTCCATACTAAGTAACGTATCTTTAATTGTCTTAAATTTCTCTTTCATTTGCATACGGCTGCCGGCCAATTCTCTGTCAACTATCAGGAGCCATTGTTTATTCGCTAAAAAGCGCACAGTCAATAGGCCACCACAAGTTTATAGATCGTAGATATAAGACTAAGATGGCGTGGCCTTCTGTTTGTTTGCAGTCTCCTTTAGCTTTATAGTTTTGGTCCAACCTTGTGGAACGTACCTAGTCCCGTGTCCTCTGCCATAGTATCCGTGATTTCCAGCATTGAACCATTGGCTGGGTACATTCCCAAACTTTTTGCCGGCATCGTCTGTGAGAAGCGTCATCGTAAGCACAAAGTGACCACAAGTTTAGTCCCTGACTATCATTGATTTACTAATGTGAAATGTTATAGCTTCTTTGCTTGACACTATAATGTATCAGCAGCACAGCACTTTGCGGAAGATTTCGTCGAAACTTCGAAATTCATTTGTATTGGGAGATCAGCAGAAATTCTGCTAATTGCCTCGAAGATCCATTAAATCTTGTAAGAAGGTAGTTGCTTATGATCTTTAGGCCTTAGAGAAAGAATAGTCTATGAGTATTAAACATATAATACTTTAATCCCTGACGACCC